CATTGGGCTGGCAGCAGGGGAGCCAAAAATGACCTCCCCTGGTCTGGAAAAATCCCTCATCCAGAACTACTCAGATCCCAAGGGTGTCTGGTTATGTTATGTTATTTGTATATTGTTTCATTTATTTCACTCTTTTCCCCATCAAGAAAACGCTTCCAGACTTCCCTAAAGAAGGGCAATCCCAAATCAAAGTAATAAATCATTGGGCTGGCAGCAGGGGAGCCAAAAATGACCTCCCCTGGTCTGGAAAAATCCCTCATCCAGAACTACTCAGATCCCAAGGGTGTCTGGTTATGTTATGTTATTTGTATATTGTTTCATTTATTTCACTCTTTTCCCCATCAAGAAAACGCTTCCAGACTTCCCTAAAGAAGGGCAATCCCAAATCAAAGTAATAAATTTAGGCACTGATGTAGCAAAAGTTGATTTTGGCCCTGGAATTCAAAATGTGTCTGTGGAATCTCTGAGAGAGGTAAGAAAGATTAATTATTATAGTTGGTAAAAAAAATTAAAGCATATTTTCTAAATTTTTCACAAGTTTTTAAAATGTGTTTTGTTTATTGAAAACCTGCCTTTTAGTAAATGAAAAGAATTGATAATAATTTCAAAATTCTTTTTAATAAAAATTTTGGAAAAAATTCACTAATAATTTTGTGAAAAACCAAACATTTCTACAAAGTTTCCATGCGTCAGATTGCAATGCCTGCAGCACAAAGCTGAGCCCAGCCCTATGGGACAGGAGCTGCTGCTGCAGGGTGAGTGATCTTTAACTCCCCTTCCCCCACAGGCCCTCCTTCATTGTTTTTACACCCCTGGTTTAAAGATTTCTGTGGTTGCAAGTTTTTTGGAAGCATGGAAGCCCCTGTTTCAAATTTTGTCCAAAAACCTGTGTGCAGCCATGGTTCCCTTTTTAATGAGAGGTATTCTCATTAATATTTGTCCTTCTTTCGTCCTCTGGGATCTTACCTGTCATCCTCCAGGAGTTCTCCAAGATACTAGTTAATGTTTCTGAGATTGCTTCCCAAGTGCTGGGCTCCTGCTGCTAGTCCTGGAGAGGTGAGGGAGAGACAGGATTTCTTCTTCCTTTCTATGGGCCACCCCTGAGGCTGGGTCAGATGCATTTCCAAGACCCTTTCCCCAGATGCAGCAAGATGGTTGAGAGCCCAACTCTGAAAGAAGAGTAGCTACCAGCAGCAGCGCAGAAGTGAGTGTGGCATAGTGTGGTATTGCACTCCCTACTTCTGCACTGCTGCTGGAAGCGGCACTGCCTTCAGAGCTGGATGCTCAGCCTGTCTACTGTCCTTCAGCTGTCCAGCTCTGAAGGCAACAGCACAGAAGGAAGGGAGGCAATATTACAATTCCCCAGTCTTAGTACAGTATTCACGTAATTGGTTCATTTCTTCCTTCACGCAGATTTCAGAGTACCAAGAATTTAATTCATAGCAGTATTTGAAGTGCTGATAATTTTCTCTGCATTTCTAACTGCATTTGTTGCTCCCATTAGATGTTAAATTGATACTCGTACAGAATGAAGTCCTCTGTTTAGTCACAGTACGGGAACAGTACCAACAGAAACAATGCAGCATTTTCCACATAGCAGTGTGGTACTTCAGCCTTGGTCTGGAGAAAGCACTCAAGGATAGTATAGCCTTCATACCATTCAGTCTTTGGATTGTCGGCCGAGACTTTCTACAAGGATGTTAACCAATACCAGCTCTGATAGAGGTTTAGCAACGAAGAGATACTTGCTTTCCCACACTCTTTGGCTGTGTCTACATTGGCACTCCTTTCCGGAAAAGGGAGGCTAATGTAGACTTCGGAACTGCAAATGCCGCGGGGGATATTTAAATCCCCCGCGGCATTTGCATTTACATGGCTGCCGCTTTTTTCCGGCTTATCCCCAAGCCGGAAAAAAGCGGCAGCCATGTAAATGCAAATGCCGCGGGGGATATTTAAATCCCCCGCGGCATTTGCATTTACATGGCTGCCGCTTTTTTCCGGCTTATCCCCAAGCCGGAAAAAAGCGGCAGCCATGTAAATGCAAATGCCGCGGGGGATATTTAAATCCCCCGCGGCATTTGCATTTACATGGCTGCCGCTTTTTTCCGGCTTATCCCCAAGCCGGAAAAAAGCGGCAGCCATGTAAATGCAAATGCCGCGGGGGATATTTAAATCCCCCGCGGCATTTGCAGTTCCGAAGTCTACATTAGCCTCCCTTTTCCGGAAAGGGGTGCCAATGTAGACACAGCCTTTATTTAGAATCTAATATCTTCAGATCAGAGTCTACCTTTTACTATGAATAGGGCCCTACTACATTCACGGTCCATTTTGGTCAATTTCATAGTCATAGGATTTTAAAAACTGTACATTTCATGGTTTCAGATATTTAAATCTGAAATTTCACGGTATTGTAATTGCGGGGTTCCCAAACCAAAATGGGATTGTATGGGGAGGAGGGGTTTCTGTGAAGGAAGAAATAAACCAAAAGCATTTATGGACAAAAATGATTACAGTGATTTTAGATGTAGAAAACTGATGACATCTAAAAATCTGAAGCGGGATTTATGAGATATCTATGAAACAGCAGAGACCAAGTACAACGTATCTAATACATTTCAAAACTCTTGAGTCAGCAGAATGCTGATAAATGCATAGACCAGTGGGGGTAATTACCTCTCGAGGGGTAATTTGACATATTTCAGGGAGTAATACATTTAAATACAATAGGTGTTCAATTTTGTTCAACATACAAAATACAATAAAAATGGTTAATCGTAATTTTCTTTTTGTCTATTGCAATTTTAAAAAGGAGGGTTAATTTTGGTTTATTGGTTAAGCTTAAGGGATAACCATGCCTAAGAGATTAAGAACCACTGGCATAGACAGAGCCATACTTTGTGAATATACATGGTATATGTTTTTTCTTTCTTTTTTTTATAGACAAAATATTTGACATTTGACCCTACTAGCTTAAAAAATGTGATTATAAGCTATGGAAATGAAACTACAAATGAGCTTCTTAATGTTATGGGAAAAGAACGTCATACTCTTATACTAAAAAATACAATTTACATCCAAACTGCACTGGTAAGCTTGCTTAATTCCTGGTTAGTATACTAGTCCCTTAGCTTCCAATCTGTTTAAATGGAGAGTGTTTAATCTCAGGTGAAATTGAAATGGTGTTATTCCTCCACTCTGGGAGAAAAAATACTATGGAACTAGGAGAGCCACAGAGAGAGAGATGAGAAGATGCTATGTACTGTATATTTATATCTTATGTTAATTAGTATGTAAACAGTAAAGAAACATGTCATTTAATATATAGTTTAAACATTTCTGGATAAACAAACATTTTAAATGGATGGTCTTAGTTTCATGCTTCTCAACAATCACATGTATTTACAAAACTCTAAAGATGAGACTTGGGGGCAGGTCCACAAAAGAGATTTAGATTTTGGCCAGGTCCACAGTATGGGTGCTCTAGAAGTACAGCTATGGTGCTTTAGCTATATTGCTGTAAAGCTGTCGTACAAATTCTTTCTTTAGTGATGCATGGGTGTAGACAGTCCACCTCTGAGCAGTGGTAGTGAGGTTGATAGAAACATCCTTCTGTTAACTTGTTTGTGTCTACCCAGGAATTGGATCAGCATAACTACAGCACGTAGGTGTGTGAATTTTTCACACTCCTGAGTGGCACAGCTATGTTGATCTAAACTTTCAGTATTGACCAGGCCTCCATGTTACAGCACTGACCACTGCAGTGCCCTGCCACCTTGTGGAATCCACAGCCCTGAGTTAGGCACTATGTCTACCTATCTAGTGCACAGGGAGAGTAAGATTCTAAGAAAGGGATTCTCAAAATCAGCAAACTGCTCTGGGGGTGGAGGAGGGATTGCTAGTCAATAGGAAATGCCAAAATGTTAGGTGCCCATCTCTGGATTAGGAGGCACCTCCCTCTGCTATGGATTCACAGCCATGAATCATCTCCTGAATTTAAGCACTTATGCCCAGAAAGTGGCAGCTCAGGGTTCAGTTTTTTCTCTTTGTCTGAGCTAGAGCAGGGATCTGAACCTAACTCTTTTATGTTCCCCGTGAGTGCCCCAACCACTAAAGCAAGCCTGCTGACGGGGGAGCAGCTGCCCCAAGGCCCAGTGATTGAAAGGGGCCTGTGGCTCCTACCAGTGCCACTGCAGCAGAAGCCCCAAGCCCTTTACATTGCCACTGAAACCTTGCATGGGACACTCCAAGAAGCACTGAGAGCTGCCTGGGATAGGTGCAGAGTGCTGATTGATGTATGGTAGATGCTAGCTCCAGCCCCACCCATTCTACCAGCTTCCCCCCCCCTTCTGGAGGCACCAAACCAGGACCCATCCTGCCTGGCCCAAGGGCCCACCAAGTCTGTCAGTCCCACTGCATTGAGCTATAGATAACTCTTTTCTTGAAGCTGTTCCACTTTTTAATGAACTACATAGCCACTGGAGCAGGGATTGGAACCTGGGTCTTCCAGATGAGTGCCTTAGGTCTGGGGGTTCTCAACTTTTTTTCCCCCCCCCCCCCCGAGCTATTTCCCTCACCCCCACTACTATCATGCTATAGAAACTTCATGGCTCATGTGTGCCAGAATAACTTTTTCTGCATCTAAAAGCCAGGGCTAACATTAAGCAATAGCAAGCTGGGCAGTTGCCTGGGGCCCCACTCCACAGGGAGCCCTGAAAAGCTAAGTTGCTCTGGCTTTGCCTTCATCCTCAGCTGGTAGAGCTTAGAGCCCTCAGCTGCAGTGCCATGTTGTGGGTTTCAGCTTTCTGCCTAAGCCCCAGGAAGTCAAATGCCAGCCCTGTTTGGCAGATTCCCTAAATAAAATCTGCTCATGGCCTTCTGGGTGGCTCCAGACCCCTGGCTGAGAAGCACTGTTGCAGCCCTTGTCATCCTCCCTCTGGCCCAATTAATACCTAAGTATTTCACACAAATGACTTCAACAGGAGAGGCTGAGAGAGGCCCACCGCAATACTGTATAGCCCAGTGGTTACAGCAGCAAGATGGGAATCCTGTGTTCAGTCCTTGCTCCAACTCAGTCATAGTGGGGATTTGAACCTTGGTCTCTCCCATGCTTGCTTTATTAAGCGTAAGGGGACTACTGGCATCAACTCCTCTTCTGTTTTGTTTGAGGCCCAACATAATAGACAGCTTTTTTATAGAATTCCTACTAGGTCAGGAATAGAGGGTGTGTCTATACTACAGGGTTTTGTCGACAAAACTATACCTGCGTCTACACTACCGCCGAGTTCTGTCCACAGTAAGTCGACAGAACGCGGCAGTTTTGTTGACAGCAGTAAACCTCATTCTACGAGGAATAACACCTTTTTTTGACAGAGTTATGTCGAAAAAAGGCACTATTGCATCCACACTGTGCTTTTTCAAAAGAGTGTCTAGACTCTCTGGTGAAAAAGCGGCTTGCTTTGTTGACAGAACAGTATCTGTCGACAAAAGCCTGTAATCTAGACGTACCCTTAGTGACAGTTTTTCTTTTAAGGTATCCCCGTTGGAGCCGAGGTGTGAGCAGGATATCAGTGTTAAGATGGTTTAGCATGTGGCCACAACAGAAATTTACATGCTATGGAGACTTTAACGGTGGAAATTTATTTGCTTACAGGGTTAGATGGCAGCTGAGGTTATACGGATTTACATTTTGTATTTAGGCACCAAAAATACTAGTTAAACACTAGCATATCTTTGCTTGGGAATCTGCCCTTGGAGTCCTACTGAAGTAAGAGGTATATATTGGTACCTTATATTGGGATATTAGTACATAAGAGTACGTATCATAGCATGTCAAAGATACTAATACAAATATCTTATTCATAATTGTCTTTTCTACCAGCTGCTTGATGGCCTTACAACAAAGTCAGAAGATGGAAAAAATAAAATCAGGTATCATTAATAAACATTTGCTTTACTTCTATTGTGCAGCTAAATGTTAAAATGGCATCTCTGTAGTCAACATCTTGTGTCTACTTCCTGTGTACCTTCGACCTGAATCTTCATTTGTTACTGAAAAAAATAGATTTTAGCTTATTGATTCAGCTGGAAAGGGAGAAAGATTCTGTTTTGCTTCTTGCATCAGCTACACATTTTTAAAGAAAATAGAAACTGTAATTTAAAAATTATCAAAATCTATTCAGATGAGATGGGGGAAAATAAGAATGTAAGAACAGCCATCCTGGGTAAGACCAAAAGTCCGTCTAGCCCAGCATCCTGTCTGCTGACAGTGGCTAATACCTAATGCCCCAGAGGGAGGAATCACAACAGGTAATCCTCACGTGATCCCTCCCCAGTCACCCACCTCCAGAGAAACAGAGACTAGGGATACCATTCGTACCCATCCTGGCTAACAGCCATTGATGGACCTAACCTCCATGAATCTATCTAGCTTTTTTTTGAACCCTGTTAGAAGTTCTAGCCTTCACCACATCCTCTGGAAAGGAGTTCCACAGGTTGACTGTGCACTTAGTGAAGAAAAACTTTCTTTTGTTTTAAACCTGCTGCCTATTAATTTCATTTGGTGATCCCTAGTTCTTTTATTGTGGGAATAAGTAAATAACTTATTGAAAATGATTTAACATATCTGTGGCATTGTCAGTATATAATATAAGGAAAGTTAATTTTATTTAAGTGTTGTCACGTTTTTAAGCAAATATTATATTCCTTCTGTTTTTTAAAGATTTATAAACAATTTGGCTTCAGCAATTAACATCACAATGGATGGTACTTCTTTTGGACATGTGAATAATTTTTCTGCCACCAATTATACATCCTTTACAAGAGGCGTGTAAGTATTTTGCTATACTTTAATCCAAAGACTTCCTTAAAAAAAAGTAGTCATTTTCCTTAGAAAAAGTACATGGATACCTGAAGCCTTGTCAAATATTCAAGGTTTAAAGGTCTATATAAACGCAGCACAAAATTATCACTAGTTAAAAATTCTCTATGCACTTTTGATTTATTTTAACAAAGCTGGGATGATTGTTCCCTGATGTAGATCTCAAGGCATATTTTTATCTTTAGGAAAACAGTATTATTATGTGAGTACAATTAATTCCATGAATTATTTAGCTTAACTTCTTTGTTTTTCAGAAAAGAAATTGTTGTTGCTTTTACAGACAATTCACTCACTTGCAAAAATCAGTCAATGTCATTTGGATATGGCAGTGCATATACTATTGTAATTCAGGAGGTAAGTTGCCAGAGCTGCTGGAAGATGCAGAATAATTTTTGTGTTAGGCTACTTTATTTTTTTTTAAATTGCCATTGAATATCTTTCTTCCTTGCTATTGATGAAATATAAAATAACTACATGGAATTACCTCATGAGTATTTTTTCTAATATAGTTGTAATAAAACTGTAAAAATAATAATGGGTGTAATGGAATCCATTCTCAATTAAAATACATATGGCGAATCAGTTAATAATGTAGGGGTTCTAATTTCTGCCTAATAGGCTTAAAAAACTGAAGCCTTGACAGATACTCATGGTTTAAAGTTCTTAACATGGATTCAGCCCCAAAAATTATCACTAGTTAAAAATTCTCTATGTACTGTTAATTTATTTTAATATAGCTGGGAAGGTTGCTCCCTAATGAAAATCTCATAGCATATTTTTATCTTTAGGAAAACATGCAACATATTCATCATTGTTTCTCGTGTATTTTCATTATTATTATTTTAGTGTAATAACGACACACTAGGACTCAGATACGTTGAAGATATCCAGCCCAATACAGTTCATATGGCTTGGCAGATCCCTCAGTATTTCATTATAACATGTGGAGAAGTGGTCTTCTCTGTCACTGGACTGTCATTTTCCTATTCTCAGGTAGGTTTCAGTCAATTATGTTAGATTTTGCTTTACCTTTTACTGATTAATGTAATGATCTTACCAAGCAAACAGAAAGACAATTAGACTATCACATAAAGAAAAATAGTTACCACCACCACCATCTATGTGAATCAGAATACTTACCAGATTTTAATTTTTACCTTAAAAGTGTCCCTATTCAATTTAAACTCAAAGCGAACCTGACTTACTCTGAAGTAAAAGACTTTTGAATCCGTTTAATTGTGTGTCTCTTTGAATCACCCTAAATAATTCCTCTCCCCCTATTTTTAAGATACTCAACGGCTGCGTCTAGACTGGCAAGTTTTTAAAAACTTGCCAACTGTCTACACTGGCCGCCTGAATTTCCGCAAGAACACTGACGATGTGATGTAAGATTGTCAGTGTTCTTCCGCAAATACTATGCTGCTCCCGCTCGGGAAAAAGCCCTCTTGTGCAAATGCTTTTGTGCAAGAGGGCCAGTGTAGACAGTTAAAAACTGTTTTGCGCAAAAAAGCCCCGATGGCGAAAATGGCGATCGGGGCTTTCTTGCGCAAAACCGTGTCTAGATTGGCACGGACGATTTTCTGCAAAAAGTGCTTTTGTGCAAAAGCATCCGTGCCAATCTAGACGCTCTTTTCCGCAAATGCTTTTAACAGAAAAACTTTTCTGTTAAAAGCATTTGCGGAAAATCATGCCAGTCTAGACGTAGCAAACTTGTCTACATATTAGCCATTTTTTTTTCTTTTTTATGTCCTTTTCCTTTCATTTTGATAAAGAATATATGTACTGTAATATGTTGTGCTCGTATACTGTTACGATGGATACAGTATAAGTACCTAGACAACTATAATTTGATGTGTTATTGTGAACAATTTTGTGCCTGAGTTTGTCATATGTAAAATATGCTTGTTAATCAATCATTGTACATAATATGTGCAGAATTATAAGGAATATTGGAAATGTACTGCTCCCACAATCTTTCTTTCCCATTCCCATAATTTTTAAATTAAAAAAACCAAACAAACAGTATTTGAGGTTAATATTAAGAATCAGTTAAAATTCAAAATGATCTGGATAAACTGGAAAAATGGTCTGAGGTAAATAGGATTACATTCAATAAAGACAAATTCAAAATTCTCCACTTAAGAAGTAACAATCAGTTGCACACATACAAAATGGGAAATTATTACCTATGATGGAGTGTTGCAGAAACGGGTCTGAGGGGGCATAGCAGACCACAAGCTAGATATGAGTCAACAGTGTGGCACTATAGCAAAAATAATGCAAAAACAGTAAATTTCTTAACTATTGAGATGGATAAGCACTGGAATAAATTGAATAGGGGGGTGGTGGAATCTCCATTATTGGAGATTTTTAAGGTTGTTTCTACCTCCTCTTTGTAATAATATTTTAGATACTTGAAAGTTGTTACGGATGGTCTAGATGGTGCTCAGTCTTGTCATGAGTGCAGGGGTCTGGACTTGATGACCTTTAGAGATTCCTTCCAGTTCTGTGATTCTGTAAACATCTAAACTTTGAAGATCAAACATGGAACTACAAGATTTACTTTTATAAGATGTGTTAAGATGCAAAGCAATTCAATTAAATATCTTGTTTCTGCAGGCACCTTCCAATATGAAATCTGTGCTACAGGCAGGCTGGCTTCTGACTGTGGCTGTTGGTAACATCATTGTTCTCATTGTGGCTGGGGCATCAAAACTCAGTGAACAGGTAAATAGACATTAGCACAAAACTATACTGCATTGGTGGGGAACCTAAGACCTGAGGGCTAGTTGTGGCCCCCAGCTTGCCTGGATGCAGCCTTCAAGGCTCAGGGTTCTCGCCCCAAGTTTGGGGAATCTGTGCTGGAACTCCACCACTTCTGCCACTCCCCTGCAGGGCTGAAGCACACAAGATCTACTAGCCTGGGCCTGCCTCAGCACTGGTATGCAAGGAGAAGTGGGGAGTGGCTTTCTGCTTCTCAGTCAGGTGCCATGTTAGTGATAAGTGGTTTGTTTTTTCTGTTTTTTTGGTTTTCACTTGTGTGTAGCCCCACAACTGATTTTTCTGTGAGTCTACAGCCCCCAGCCCCAAAAAGGTTCCTCACCCCTACTGTACTAGTATATTGTATTATTATTTTTTACTATATTCTATCAGTCCAATATTTTATACAGCTATGGTACAGGGAAAACTATCATAGATAAGCCTCATAACCTTTTTGCATCTCTTCATTACTACAGAGGATTTGTAATTATTATAACAGGACATGAGCATATGATTAAAAAAATACTAGCTAGAGGAGAATCACTTGAAACCCACAATCAGCCATACAGAATTACCACTTACAATTGAGTGACCTCAGTTCAGATGTAAAGGCCTCGCTAAACCATGGGTGTGTCTAGACTACAGAGGTTTATTTTTAAAGTGGCCTTTTTTCAAAACAACTTCCTCTACATCTAGACTGCTGCTGCATTCTTTTGAAAGTAAATCGAAAGAATGCATTTTTTTTTTTACACGGAAAACTTCGTTTTATGAGGAATAATGCCTTTTTTCGAAAGTGTCCAGACTGCCGGGGTGCTCTCTTTTGAAAAAGCAGCTTGCTTTTTAAAAGTACTGGTTGTAGACTAGATGCTCTTTTTCGAAAGAGGCTTGCAGTCTAGATGAAGCCTATATGAAGAACACTGATATAATTGGGTAATTAACATCTCACAAGATGCTATGATTTATTTAGATAAAATCTGGTGTGTATAACTCTAAAGAACACAGTGGCCAGATTTTCTGGGTGTTGTATTAAGATGCAATTCTCAGGAGGAAACTTCTCCAAATTCCGGGTTACATACCTGAGGGAGTTGCTTCCCTTATCAAAATGGACAGAAAAGGTTGGTGGCTTGGAGTTTGGAGCATCTTCTTAAGATTCTGCTGGAACACTCTGGTTCTTATAAGATGTATTTTAAAACAGTTCTCTTTTTTTTTAAAATCCTATTAGGAGTTCCTAATAGCTGTTGTCCCCCCCAGCTTTTTCTAGATCTAATTCCTGTTCTGTTTATGAAAAGGCCAGATCTGTTTAGTCTGCAACTAAAGTTGCAAATCATGTTAGCAACCTCTAAAATAAATTACTACAACAACCAGAAAAGGGAGACCACTCCTGCAAATGAACGAAGCTTAGCTGGGCAGACAACAATAGGGCACCCAGTGAAAAACACCTTGAAGTATTTTTAATTTCAACACACCAGAGTTCCTCTCCTGGCCATAGATGAAGCCCATAGAGTCCCCTTCTTCACTCCCATTATTTCAAAAACCTCTAGCCACCTGCCCCTGGCATCAGAGTCACTGTTCTTCTGGCCAAAGAGGACTGTACAGGATCCCTTCAAAAGCATCAGTGCCATTCTTTAATTAGTCTTCAGTTTGCGGGTGGAAATGACTCCCCTTTGCACGTGGGTTTTTATGGCATTTCTGAGCCCTGCCAAGCTGAACAGCAAGAGAACAAAACACAGTTAATTAAGGTTTTTCCCGCTTAAGTAATTATTGTATTATATAGTTGTATTATTACTGTAGTGCTTAGGAGACTTAGTCATCACCAGGGTCCTGTTATGCTAAGTGCTGTCACAGAAAGGTTGAGTACCTGTTAGCATTTGAGTTTCACTCACTGCAATCAGTGGAAGCTTTGCCATAGACTTCTGTGAGACTAGAATCATGCCTGTTCAGCTCCCATCAAGCCAGGAGGAGGGAAAATACAACCCATGGGCCAGATCCAGCCCAAGAAACTTTCAGATCCAGCTAGCCATGATACTCTGGGCTGCCAATGTCCTGCCGATCAATGGGGACCTTGCCTGCCACGTCCCCACATGCCACTCAAGGCGGCTGGTTGCTGGGGCCAGCATATGCATTTTTGCCTACGGAAGTGCCTCCTGGCCAGAATCTATGCTTGATCCCCTATCCTGTCTCACACCCCAATCCATTGCCCCTGCTCACAACCCAAAGTCTCTGCACCCCTTCCTATGTCCTTGCCCCTGGTCATAACTCCATCCTAGTCTCTGCCCCCCCCCAATCATCTGCCCTAGGTCACAACCCCCTCCTTTGCTCAAACTCCCTCCCAGACCCCACACCCTCTCTTGCACAGATCCACTAGCCAGAGCTACTTCCTGTACCCAACTTCTGGCCCAGACCCTCAACTATTCATAGAAAGGTGCCGCCCTTGAACACTTACTACATTCTTGGAGTGGCTTCCCCATCAACAATTATTGCCCACATCTGTATTAGGCAGTGGTTTTCAATCTGTAGTCTGCAGACCCTGGGGGTCTGTAGACTATGTTTAAGATTTTCAAAGGGGGCTGCACCTCCATTTGTAATTTTAGGGGTCTGCAAACGAACAGAGGTTGAAAACCACTGCACAGGGATAGCTATCATGGTGCCAGTCTTTTTAGACAGAGAACTGTACACAGATTCATCTGTAGTTAACCAGTAACTCTACAGGATCATCTGAAACAAACTGCAGAGTACTCTCAACATGCCCAGCCTATAAACTTTGGGTTATTTTTAGATGCATATGTGATAGCTAGATGGATCTCAAAAGTACTTTAATTGGGTACCTGGTCCCTTCTAAAGCCGTGTGTGTGTGTGTGTGTAATTATTTTCTACTCGCAGATTTACCTGCTATTGCTAGGATCCTTAAATTATTGTTTTAATAAAAGGAAAATATGTATGCTTTATTTAAATGATTATAGTTTCTAAAATACTTTTATTTTAAGGGGATTGTTTAAATGTTTAATTTTTTAGTACATTTTTTAGATGGCAATTCCATCAAGTGCATTTTTTTCTTCAGCCCTATGAACTCTTATCATTTGCTGTGTTTTAACCAAAAAAGGTTATAGTTAATTTGGTTTCCAATAACATTTTCTTCTAGTTTTCAAACTTTAAGCATTGATTTAGCCATGGCAAAACAAAGCACAACTCCAATTTTTTCCATTTTATCTATTTTCTGTAACATTTATTGAGAAGCAATTCTATTTCAGGTTCATTTTATTATTACTGGCTTATCTTTGTTCAGTCGCTTTTGACATTTGGTGAGTTATGTAATTTTGAGAATTGCACTTGATTTGGTGATTCTGCCTCCTTCCTGTTTGGATTTATGAGAAGCAATCCCACTCCAGGCAGATCCTATTTTCCTGGCATAGCCAAACCCTTTCCTTGCTTTACATTACAACAGGGCTACGTCTACACTGTAGGCTTTTTGCACAAGAACAGATGTACTTGCTCAAAAACTTTTGGAGCATCTGCACGCATGCTCTTGCGCAAGTAAATTTACAGTAAAGCATTAGAAGAGAGGGCTTCTTGCACAAGAGTTATTCCGCTCCCTATAAGGAATAAGCCCTCTTGCGCAAAAAGGCAGTGTGGATGGGAACAGGGGTTTCTTGCGTAAGAAACCCCTATGGCTAAAATGGCCATCAGAGCTTTCTTACATAAGAGAGTGTCCACACTGCCATGGATGGTCTTGCGCAAAAGGACATGGCAATGTGGACACGCTCTTGGGCAAGAACTTTTGCACAAGAACTCTTATACAAAAAGTTCTTGCGCAAGAAGCCTGCAGTGTAGACGTAGCCTAAGAGAAGCTATAAACCAAATTTGGTGATCCTAGCTCTTACCATTTAGGAGGAGTTCTTGATCAAACAGACAAACTCTCTAAAATATATAGTAGAGCTTTAGAACCCATTCAGGAATGTCTGCTTGTTTGCAGAAAGATAGCATCATGATAGTGAACCATAGAAATGTTTATAGATAAATAATGTTAATGTTTGTTTCTTTACAGTGGGCAGAATATGTGCTATTTGCTGCCTTACTGATGGCAGTTTGCATTATTTTTTCGGTCATGGCTTATTTTTACACATATGTGGATCCAGCTGAGATTGAATCTCAAATTGATGATGAAGAAAAGAAGAATATGGACAATGAGAAATGGCCCGGTTCCATTTTAAAAAATCCTATCTCTCAGACTGAGATGTAAAGGTGTATTCAGAGCTGCATGATGTAAATTTATGGCACCCCACTAACTACAGCCACACTAAAAATACTGGAGTATCTAATCCACAGTTGGATGGGCTTTCCCCTGGGTAAGGGGGAAAAGAGCATTCCTCATTTAAAATGCAGATCATCCTGAGGAGCAAGATCAAGAGCTTAGTCTTGTACACAGAACATGATACCCTCAGAAAACTCTGGAAAGTTGCTCTCAGAAGAATTTGCACTTTAAAAATGGATCTGAAGCTTCAGTCTCAAAGCATTAAACTGCTGAAATTGCACTTGACAGTGCTGAAGAGTTCCTGTGATGAAAATGTGTTATTTTTATATTGTATTTTAATTTTATATTGTGAAAAGGCAAATATTGCCAGGAAATATTCAATAAAGCCATACTGTTTGGACAGCCCAAGCAGCCCACAGTTATTCAGGAAAAACTGATCCTTTTTAAAACTGTCTTAGAAATAATGAATACAAAAATGCATTGAATAATTATAGAAACCTGCACATACTGTATATGTGCATACTGTATATGTAATACCAGTTAGTATTACAGTCTAGACCCCTCCAATTCACCTGTACACTCTCCCTACCCAATTAACTACTGGTAACTTTAACCAAATGTTTTAGACTCAAGCAGTCACCAAGATGAAGATAAAAGAGAACTGAACTCTGAATAAAATAAAATAAAATAAAACTCACCTACTAACAATATACTGTAGTTTGAGGTATTTCTTTGAGGGGGGGAAAAGGAATTGAATATAGTGTTTTCAACTAAGGAAGAACTTTAGACCCCTACTTTACTTGGAGTGGATTTGTCAAGATGTTACAACAGGCACCTCTGTCAGGTGTCTACACTACAGAGTTTTTTCGGAAAAAACTTCAGTTACATCCACACTGCAATCACATTCTTTCGAAAGAAAACTGAAAGAACAGAGGGGGTTTTCCAGCATTGGTAATCCTCCTTCTATGAGGAAAAAGCTTTTTTCCAAGAGAGCTCTTTCGGAAAAAGGAGCGTGTGGACGGGGAAGAGGGAAAAGCACAGGTGCCCTGGTGGCCACTCCAACCACAGTAATCACAGTTTAAATGCGAGATAGCGTCCATTCAGTGTGGATGCTAACTTTCGGAAAGAAGATTGCTTTTTCGATGCACTTTGGCAGTGTAGACATGCTCTTTCGGAAGAAGTTTTTTCGGAAGATCTCTTCCGGAAAAGCTTCTTCCGAAAGAAGTCTGCAGTCTAGACATAGCCCCAGCCTTTTCTTTGTCCACTAAATTTACAAACAGAAGCAGGTAGTTTCCAATGAGGATAACATCTTCTGCCCAAAGAGTTGTCCTTACCAAATGTAGCACTTATTAGTAGACTGTCAACTCTTTTCTTTTAATATTAAAATAATCGGTAGAAAAAGGCATATACAGATAAGTATACACAGTTACATCATATGCTACTCTAGTAGGCATGGAGGTATGTATATGGGGAAGAATTTAAATAAGATAAAAGGGATAAATCTTCAGTGAATATGTGAGCAGTTAGCATTTTAGGGAACACTGTAGGGTGACATTTTATGCTGAACAAAAGACTAAAGAGCAGGCTTCTTGGTTATTTGGTTCAGAGGTAGATGATTTATTTTTAACTTGCTTTGAAAAGAAAATATAATGTTGCAAGGCCCACTTGAAAAAGTTGTCATGCTCAGGGAAGGAATGGGCACAGGAAGAGTTTTACAGTTCAGAAGACTACTCAAGAAGTTAACAGAAACTTGCCTCGTTATCTGAGCTCAAATATCTGTGCAAATCCAATCAAAAACATAAAACAATTGCATCTTTCTCATTTTCTTAAAATACATGTTCCTGATTCTTATTGAATTATATTTTAACTTTATTCTTCTCTGAAAACATTAAGTAATCCACATCCATTTCCTTATTTAAATTAGATAATCAGTTGACTTGCAGATATACAACAATATTATCAGGAAATTTTTAAGTAGCTTGCTACATGGACAACTATGATAAACAATGCAATTAGACTTTATATCAGCCATATAGCATTTTCTGCACTACAGTTACTTCCTTGAAATATTCATGAGTATTTCATAAACATGTTTTCACTGGTGGTGCACTACTATTTAGTTGTATCATCTGGCTAAGTACTAAGTAACTGGAACTCAGTATATGGCTGAAACAAAATAGTGGGTAAGTAATCAAATAGTTATAAGTATTATTTATAAGTTATAAGCATTATTTTAGTGTGCTTATTAGAACAAGATGATAATACAATATTAATATTAGAACAAGATGATAACATGAAAAGGTAGCCACACCTCCTAATCTCACAAAGTACGTTAGCTATACATTTAAATAGCTAGGGTTGTTTTTTGGTTTTTTTGTTAACCATACCATACATATAAACTATAAAAAATTCTGGTATTTTATACAGGAATTTCACTTCCCCCCTAAGGGAGCTATTTTCACATTCTGTAAGTACAATTTTGCAATTAGTTATTCCTATAGTACTTCTAGTCACTTTAACAAAGTTACAAAGTCTTTCAACATTAAACTTCTTTTTATCTATTACAAGGCCTTACCTAATATTAACATCACTATGCATTACAATATTCCATCCCTTCTAGGGTTGCCAGGTGTCCGATATTGACCCAGACAATCCAGTATTTTCGCCTTCTGTCTGGTAAAAAAAAATTCAGAAAATACTGGACACCTAAAATGTCTGGAATTTTCTGATTTTTTCCCCCTGCCAGGAGGCGAAAATACTGGACACCCCAGCAACTGCTCAGCCCTCAACCTCCCCGCTGGGCCCCTTGCCAGGCCCCTCTGATGCCCTCACACTCCCCCAACTCTATCCTGCTTACCTGGTTCCACAGGGGCTTGTCTTGTGGCTGGAATAGAAAAACAAAATGGCCTCCAGCAAAAAGCCTCTTCTGAAAAGGGCCATGCTGATTTTTTATTTTCTCAACAGAATTTTTTTTCTCAGTGTTTTTTTTTGGGGGGCGGGAGGAGGGAAGTGTTCACTCTTTTGGGTTAAACCATCTGGCAATGCTAATTCCTTCACTTTAACTTCAGAACATGCTAACATCAAACAGAGCTGGAGCTAAGTTAACAAAGCTGCCTGGCCTGTCTGAGGCCTACATCTTGTATTTAAATTTAATTCAAAACTTTTGCTATAACATCCATTCATTATAAGTAACTGACTTATGAGTTTAAAAGTTCCAGGACTACATTGTTCCCCTTTTAACTCTTCAAGAACAATTCGGCTACGTCTACACTGGCCCCTTTTCCGGAAGGGGCATGTAAATTTCACTAGTCGTCGTAGGGAAATCCGCGGGGGATTTAAATATCCCCCGCGGCATTTAAATAAAAATGTCCGCCGCTTTTTTCCGGCTTTTAAAAAAGCCGGAAAAGAGCGTCTAGACTGGCCCCGATCCTCCGGAAAAAGTGCCCTTTTCCGGAGGCTCTTATTCTTACTTCAAAGTAAGAAGTATTTATTTTTAAACCTGCTGCTTATTAATTTTATTCAGTGCCCCCTAGTTCTTGTGTTTTGGGAAGGAGTAAATAACTCTTTTTTTATTCACTTTTTACAAACCAGTCAAGTTTTTATAGAACTCTATCATATACCCCCTCAGTCATCCCTTTTCCAAGATGAAAATCCTAGTCTTATTAACATCTCCTCATATGTCAGCCATTCCATACTAATAATCATTTTTGTGATTGATTATGTAGTGATGTAAAATAGAAAATAAGAAAAAAATAGATTTTTTTCTAATATATTTTATAGTGGTTACATTCTTAAATATTTTGTAACTGTTTCATGGCAATATATATTAAGACATTACATAGGCTTGTGATTTCAATTTAACATACATTGTTTTGCTCCAACAACACATAATGATAAACATAATCATTATTAGTATCAGTATAACAATGATGGGGTATAAGGCTATGTTTAAGGCCATAGTCCAGGTGGGTGACTATCCTCTAAATACATCATAAATACACCAGTGATGAACACTTAATTTTTGAGCCTGGCCCACTATTCTAAGTATTCTTCTCTCCTTAATGAAGCATGGCCATGCATCTAGCCTGAATTTTTGTGTGTGTAGTTTTAGTCAATTCACTGATCTCCTGATTTTGATAGACCCATCATACAATTTGGTCCAAGTTACCAATCAGTAAATGGCTGATTATGGAGAAGAGTGGTTCTTGCCCCATACAGTATTTGAGCCGTGGGAGGACAGGTCAAGTTGACCTATCAGACATGGAGCAGAAATTGTTTTTACACGTATTCTTCTTTGAATAACAATATGTTAACCTTTAAACGCTTCCACCATCTATGAGCGTAGGATTAACAGCACATGCAGAGAAAATACAAAAATATTCTCAGGATTTTAAATATACCCCGGCACAAAAAGTAAGTTGTTATAAGGGATTAAGACCCAATGGGTGCGTCTAGACTGGCAAGATTTTGTGCAAAAGCTGTCTACACTGGCTGCTTGAATTTGCACAAGAGCACTGACGTTCTAATGTAAGAATTCAGTGCTTCTTGCGCAAATCCTTTGATGCTCCCGCTCAGGGATAAGTCCTCTTGCGCAAGAATACTTGTGCAAGAGGGCCAGTGTAGACAGGCACCTTAATGTTTTGCGCAAGAAAGCCCGATGGCTAAAATGGCCATCGGAGCTTTCTTGCGCAAAAGCGTGTCTATACTGGGCACGGATGCTTTTGCGCAAAAGCAAATCTTTTGCGCAAAGGCACTTGCCAATCTAGACGCTCTTTTGCAGAAATACTTTTAATGGAAAAACTTTTCCATTAAAAGTATTTCTGCAAAATCATGTTAGTTTAGACACAGCCAATAAGTGTGCCCTGCACCTGTGGCAATGATGACCTCCTGTTTACCAGTCCATCCTGTGGTTATAGCAGGGAGGGCATGCGTGTTTCCCATTACTGTCCCTGCATGTGCTTTAGGAACAGGGACACCTCCACACCTGTGATTTATCTGTTATTTGTGTTTCATATCACTTTGGGTAACTGCTTATTCTTTAAAATATTACCTTTACTAGCTTAAACCGTTACCATACCAAGCTGTTACCATTCACAGGAATTTAAGTTTCCTGTGCCTGCACCTCTTTACTTGCAACACAGTTTATTTTTGTACCTACCCACTCCAACTTCTGCTTTACTTACATAGTTTCAGAATCAACTTTAGTAGCTTGCCAATCCCAGCAAGTCTGCAACAACAACCATGCCACCGCCTGATCCTTGCTCCTTAGGTGGACCACCATGGAGATAAGCATTTAATTAACAATTTGGCAGGAGGTGGGTAGTGACAGGAAGAGGTCTGATTAGAAAGTCATTGATTTTTTTTCTTGCTTACTACAGTATCCTCTCTTTTTCCAAAATAATACACAATAATGCTAGAATTGAGACAAATAACACAGAACAAACAAAACAACACGAGACACAACAACACATGAAACACAATTTTTGTTGCAACAACAAATCCATATTAACCTTGATTGCTCTTCAGATAGTACCAACTCTTCCTGATTTTCTGAAAGACAAAAGAAAACATTTTTCTACCCCCATTGGGGTGGCACATTATGTCTTAACATACTTCTTTATTTTACAGATATTCTTGCTGATGTCTTTATTTGCCTGCAGTTCCCCAATACTTCCTTATTATTTTGTTTTATAAGCAGACCAAGCTTTAA